ACTCCTCTCTATTTTGTCCTCGCTTCTCTTCGTCTTTCTCCCTTCTGCTGTTGCCTCGTCTCGTTTCGAGGTCGGGTTTATCCGGTCCCTTATTCTCCAGATTTTTCCCCCGCGGAGGGGGGCGGATTGTCGTCACCCGATGCCCTGAGAAATTCGATTTTCAAACCGAGTTTCGCGGCTATTTCGTCTTTCGATATTCTTTTTTATTTACTACTAGTATTTGGGAGATTCTGTTTGTTTTTTTTTTTTCTTTTTAAAGAGAGAATGGAGTTGCGAAGGAAATGGAAATTGTTTCCATTGAGAGGTTTGAGGAGATATGTTAAGTATCAACAGGTTCTCTTTATACGGTGAGTTAATTTCTAATGGAGTCGTATATAACTTTTAATCAATGGAATTGTCGTTACTTTTTAAAAATAAACTTTTTAGTTTTAATGATTTTTGCTGTTAAAACAATCTTGAAATTTTTAATTCAACGATTTTTATATTAAAACGCGATGTGAACACGTTTAGCAGAGATTCCACGAAGAATATTATCCTCGTGTCATTTTATTATCCACAAATTTCGTTAATTTTTTAAAATTACTAATACAGAAAAATGGATCAACACTTTTTGAAACCTTCTTCTCTCCTTATCCACGAATTTCTTCTCTAATTCTTTTTAAAATTTGTCCATAAATTTTCTTTATTTCACCAGACCAAACGATTCCAACACACCGCAGAAATACCAGAACGGATCATCGTAGAGAGATCGTGTGACGGACCCGACAGGCGGGGACCGACAATATCGTGAAACGTCCTCGAATCGAGGCCCTTCTGAGATCCGATCTTACGACTCGACGGATTGGAAATTGGGAAACAGGTACGGCTCCTCGATTCCTGGTCGAGATTGCTGGTTGTTGCTCGCGGGATGGATCCTTCCTTTGTCGAGGAATAGAGGGAGAATGGGAAATATGATCTTTTGTTGCGGCCACGATGAATACATTTGCGAATTCTTCCAGGATTTAATTCCTCCAAGTTCGTCGAGTACGGATACATTGGGTGAAAGAACGATTTTCATTCGTTGTCGAGGGGGTGAGTTGCACGCATCCTGCACGTTGAATTCTTATTTCACTCGAATAATTTTTGTTCAACGATACGTGAAACACGGAGTGAAGATGACACTTATAATTGTAATTTGGCAAATACGTTATTTCTTTTTTTTTTATTCAATTTGTTTTTACATTTAAATTTTTAGATTTAAATTGTGGAGTTTAATGGATTTTTTTTTTTTTTTATTGTTCTATTAACCGTTGATTCTTTTTCGGAATTTTTATTTAATAATATTTAACAATATTACGGATGTAAATTGATTTTTGATGGATTTTATCGGAATATGTTTTTAAAATATTGAATATAGATATTAGTATTTTTTTTTTTTATTTCACAAAAATTCGATTTGGATTGATGCTATTAAATTTATACAAATATATGTATTTTTTTTTTTTTTTTTTTTATAGTAGTGACAAAATCAATCCTGCTATAGATTACTTTTGACAAATATTAAACGTTCGAACGTTGAAGAATTTTCTTCATTGTTAATTTTTACTAAGAATTCGTATTTAACATCCTCCATCTAAAATATAAAATAAATATTCTGAATCTAATCACCTTACTACTTAGAATCTTAATATTTTTTATCGCAATAAAAATCAAAACTCGTAATTTTCACGATTTAACACACATAATTAATAATTTAACGAAAGTATGATAAAAAGAATTATTAGAGAAGAAGAAGCAATAACAATTAATTCTAGATCGAATTCCATATCAGCCTTCCGCATAAACCTCGCATGAATATTCGATTCGGAATAAATCAATTTTACAAACAAACATGGACAACAATTTTATCGACTTTCCATATTCGCTTTCCTCTCGCGTGTGAGGATCAACGATATTTCCATTCGAAACAATCTGATCGAGAAGGCAAAGGATAAACCGCGATCTCCAGTCCAGTTTCAGTTGCGAGTTTCCCTTCCAAATGTCCTCCTCCCCCTCCCCCCCATTAGCACGATCGTCAAGACGTGGAAAAAAAGAAAAAGAAAAACGAAAAAAAGAAAAGGAAAAATTAACGTGTTAAACTGGTCGAATCTGGTTGACAAGAATGGAAATTACACGTTTTTTCGTGACTCTCTCTTTCTCTCTCTGTCTTTCCTCACGGGATATTCGAGTTACTTCATTACATCGAATATCATTTCACGCTCGAGAGTGTTCTTCTTCATTCCAGGTGTCGGCCGTGCTATCTTCTCGATTCGCAATTTTATTTATAAGTAATCGTGAAATTTAAATCGAAATCCGTAGCCAGCCTTGGATTATTCCTTTTGACAAAGGGCGAGATCCGTGGAGGAGGTCGGGTAATAAGAAAAGTCGAGTCGTATCGCGAAATGGTGGGGGAGGGGGGGGATTCCCGACAAAACTCTCGACGAGTTTTGGAATTGGAATAATGGAGAAGTAATTAGACTCCAACGTTCGAAAGTTTAAAGAAGCGTGAAAGGGATGTGGGACAATCGACTTCGATTTCTCGAATATACAAGTATTACTCCATTCACTTATCCCCTGTTCGAAAGATTTTCGAATTATCACGAAAAATAAGAAATATTTAATTCCTTTCTTAATTAATATCTTTAATATAGAGATCTAATAAAATTTTAAATTGAGATACGAAAACAAAGGGATATACTATCGATTATTTCGGGGAAAGATGAGCTTTCATATACGAATAACGAATAGTTGGGATATAAATTATAAAACGAATTCCACATCTGGAAAAATGTAAGTTATTCGATATCGTGCACCTTTCGTCGAACAGCGTGCGACGACAAGGGATTTCCGTTTTCGAATCACATCGTGTAATTCGGCACCGAAAAAAAAAAAAAAAGAAAAGAAAAAAGGTCAAACCTTTCCCATTTGGAACGATTACACGATTCCACGTTTTATTTACTTTCGCGTCTGCTAGATCGATTGCTTTGAAGAGCTTAATATTATTACAATATTATACGATATGTATATATATATCTACGAAGAATTGGGTAAAAAAATTCTTCGCGATTTCAAAAACTTTTCCAAAATTTCTTTAACAATCCTTCTAAAAAAAACTCTCGAAAAAATCCAATCCAATTCAAACTCGATCTTTCCAAAATAAAATTACGAATTATAACAGGTATCCTCTCGAAATGCCAAAACATCAAATCAAAGAACGAAAAAACCTTCTTAACACTTCGTCTTCCTCGATTCCAAATAATATTGGATTAAAAAATATTGAAAACTTCGAGTGATCGAATTTTCCTTTTTCCTCTTTTCCAAAAAAAGGAATCAAAAAAGAGAAAAAGGAGCGCGCACAAGTTGCTCCACGCGAAGCGTTTCAGACAGTTTCGCCATTTTCGCCGGGTCATTCGACGGGTTTTAATCCTCGGCGGAGTCGCTGAAAGGAAAAATGATGGTCGTAATGCCGCAACTTTCCAGACTGTCGGGAGATCGCCGGTTCGAGACGAGTTCGGGACAGTTCCCGGTAAAGCCGATACCTCGGACGGAATTATGTGGCGTTTGCGATTTCGTCTGCACGCGCACGCACACGCACACACACGTATATATCGATCCGCACTGATTGAATTAAACTTCTCCGCGAGAGCAAAGAGCCCGTTCGAAGAAATCCGCTGATAAACGTGGCGGAAGTTCGTGGGAGCAACTATCGGGGAGGAACGCGGCGTTTTCACCAAGGAATCGAGGAAACCAAGGCTTGATTATATCCGAGGAGAGAAATAAAAATAAAAAAAAATCCATTAATCCATAAAAAAAAATCCGTTAATCGGATTTTTCTTATTTTTATTATATACGAAAGTGTTCGATACAAGTACGTGATAAATTTAGATTTCCGGGGAAATTGAATTAAAATTAACAACATTTATGATTTATAAAAATTGGAAATATTCTGAGATTGATAAAAGAAGCTTGTTGCTTGCGACACGAAAAAAAAAAAAAAATAGTGGAATATAAAATATATATATATATACATGTATATAAATAATATGTATATAAATATATATATATACATATAATATATATATAATATATATATATACATGTGTATAAAAGAGATTTTAATTTCACTTTTATTTTTGCGATTTGCATAAACACGGCGATGAGTGACAGGTAAATGAAGATCGAGTGGCGCGGATTAAACTTTTTACGTCAAAGTTGCGTGCGCTGTTACACGAGCATTTCCTCTGCGTAATTTCGATTAAAGTTAAACTTCACACGACTCGAAGGAAGGAAAAATAATTCTTCCTACCAGCCTTAAGGGAATCGCGTACAATTTTCAATCGATGATCGAACGATTTCGATTTTCGAAGAAGAAGAAAAAGGTCGCGGATGGAAGATGCAAATGCACGAGAACGTCGTTACGTATGACGTAACGAGACGAATTAATTAGGGCCAATTGAGGCCGACGAGGGAAAGAGCCTGTTAATCGGACCCTCTCCTCCGCGTGTCATCGATTTCTCTTCGTCCTGAAGGAGGCGAAACGTTTCGATTCCCACTTGTCATCATTGTCGCGCGTGCTTCTCTCCTGTCGTTCTTCCCGATCCAACGAAAGCGCGCGATACCGCGTACGAATCGCGGATTATGACGGATCAAAGGAACGAGCCGAGCTGAAACATCTGGTCCACCAAACGAAACGCCTTTGTGCCCAAACATTTGTCCACGTGTTTGCCCACGTGGATGATTTGGACACGAGTTTCAGTTATTAAGAGTCGAGGATTGGGCGTCGATCGGGATGAAAATCGAGGGTGTTCTTTTGAAAATTTTGGAACGAAGAGTAATTTTGAAGGGAAGGGAATTTTTTTTGGGGGGGGGGGGATCGATTTGGAGAATATACCGGCAAGGATACGCGCTGGAAAAATCTTTTCTAAATCACTGAAATATATTGTTTTATTATTAGGATATTCCTTAAGAATATAATTTTGAATGTTTTAATTTAACTTGTCTGATTGGTTTCAGAATTTTGTTGTCTTCTATATAATGCAACATTATTTTCTGTATAATCCATTATACGACGTTGACATTGTCTTACGTATTGTTGTTGTTTATGATAAATCTTGAATGCACCTTTTATTACTATAAATGTTATATCTCCCTGTAAAAATGAATTAATTTTCTAATCTAAAATTTAATATAATTATTTAATTGATATAATAGATATATTTAGTACATACGAATAATGTTCTCTGAAAGTTAGAATGTATACTTTCAAAAAATATTTTTCCACATATGCTAGCGATACTAGGTAATAGAAGTGCACCACGAAGAATACGAGTTGCTGATATTGGATCGCTCATAGGTGGTACATCTTCGGATCGTGCTCTATCGTCGCTGGAATAACTAAAATAACATCGTTATATAAAACGTATAATTTATTTCAAATTAGTGTGATTTAGAAAAGATTTTTCGATAAATATTCGGTTTCTTTTGACGATGATACCAGTAAATGACTACTTATAAATTGTCTAGCACGTGTGTATTAAATTTTAAACCGGGGGGATAATAATAGCGGATGTTCCATTAGACTTCGACCAAGTAAACTAACACGCAGGATAAAACACGTTTCCATAATAAATCGTCTATTATCTTATAAAGTGTAAAGCAAAAGCTCGCGCATTTTCTTTCCGTCATTGATTATTAAACGGGACACGAGATAGTTTTAACGAGGTACTTATACGTGTATAATTCCCGATAAATACGTGCTACACGATTCTATATAATATAAATACACTTTCAAATTATCACGTTTGATTTCATTATTATTACAATTCGCGGTGAAAAATATTATTTATAATATACACGTGTTTTTTCGTGTATTTAAAAAATTTATTAATTACAGGCATTTCAATCGCATTTAAATTTTCTAAAATTTACCGTACAACAAAAAATAAAAAATATATAAAGAAAATATAAGAAAAATATAAAGAAAATAAAAAGAGTTTCGTATAATCCTCATACCCAATTAACCAACCCCTCGAGACTATTCATCTTCCATCCAAAATATCAAAATATAGCAAAATATTCGAGGAATCCTGTAGAAGACTCAAGCAAATCTCGAATACCAACGACATCTCGCTCCCTCTCTCTCTCTCTCTCTCTCTCTCTCTCTCTCTCTCTCTACTCTATTCAAAGATGGTCCAAGATTCTCCAAGTATATATAATAGATAATTTTCTTCCTCGTCGTCATTATCGTGCGCGCACAATGCACACGAGGATGTTACACGAGGTGGAAAGAGGAATGGTTTACAAGACGGGAAGCAGGCTGCTGGTACACTGTTAAAGAAAGGCGAGCGAGGAAGGCCGCTCCTCCGCCGTTGGCCCCCCCTCTCCTCGTTGTTCGGTTGGTGGATCTCGGGGCTTATCACGATCTACCAAGCAAAAGGGCTCGCTTCCTTCAATTAACGAGGAAAAATGGCCGTTGTTGGGCCTACATCTTTATTTTCCGCGGCCGTATCGGTTCTTCGCGTGAATTATTAAAACGGCCCAAGCTTTTTTCTTTACCTCCACCATCCCCTCACCCCCCTTACCTCCTTATCCCTTGTATTTATTCCTCCGCCACCGCTTATCGTATCCCGAGCCGATAAAACGATCGAGCAACAAGGCCCCCTTCGTCCGCGTTCCTCGTGTAATTTTGGATAAATACTAAATGGCCGATTCAAACCCTTACACTGGGATATTTAAATCGACAGACAGTGTTGCATCGAATTGAATTACTTAAACGCACGAATTCCTTGCGAATGGGCCTTAATTAATGGGCAGGTGCTAGGCCGTTTCGTTTGGGAGGAGTTGTAACGATAAACTTCTTCAGCTTCGGTATCCAGTGTTCATGAGGCCCCAGTGGTCGAGGATCAGTAAATTTAATATCCAGTGATCTGAAAGTGTAATGATCCAAATATCGTGAGATCCAGTGATCCAGTAATCCTCAGGCCCAATAAATCTAATATCTAATAATGATCAAGAGGAGTAATGATTCAAATATCGTGAGATCCAGTGATCCAGTAATCCTCAGGCCTAATAAATCTAATATCCTAATAATGATCAAGAGGAGTAATGATTCAAATATCGTGAGATCCAGTGATCCAGTAATCGTCAGACTCAATAAATCTAATATCCTAATAATGATCAGGAGGAGTAATGATCCAAATATCGTGGTCCAATAATCATCAGGCCATAAATCTAATATCCAATAATCTGAAGAAGTAATGATCCAATTGTTGTGAGATCTAGTGGTCCAATAATACTCAGGCCCAATAAATCTAATATCCTAATAATGATCAGGAGGAGTAATGATCCAAATATCGTGAGATCCAGTGATCCAGTAATCCTCAGACCCAATAAATCTAATATCCTAATAATGATCTGAAGAAATAATGATCCAAATATTGTGAGATCCAGTGGTCCAATAATCCTCAGACCCAATAATGATCTGAAGGAGTAATGATCTAAATATCGTGAGATCCAGTAATTCTCAGGCTATAAATCTAATATTCAATAATCTGAAGAAGTAATGATCCAAATATTGTAAGATCCAGTGGTCCAATAATCCTCAGATCCAATAAATCTAATATCCTAATAATGATCTAAAGGAGTAATGATCCAAATATCGTGGGATCCAGTAGTCCAATAATTTTCAGATCCAATAAATCTAATATCCTAATAATGATCTGAATATAATAATGATCCAAATATCGCGAGATCCAATAGATCTAAAGCTCAATGATCCAATGATCTTTAGGTCCAGTAAATCTAAGATCTGGTAATCCTCAGACCCAATAAATTTAATATAATTTGAAAGTGTAATGATCCAAATATCGTAAGATCCAATGGATCTAAGGTCCAGTAATGATGTCCAATGATCTACATTCGCAAACGTTCGGACGCATAATAGTTTGGAGATCTAGTGATGCAGACATCTGCTCGTCTTCAGGCCCAATGATCCTGAGACCTACTTGTTTTGAAGCTCAATGATCCGAACGTACAGTGTGATCAGGATAAATGGCCTGAATGTTCAATGATTCGAACTAAAAGCTTAATGGTCGAGACATCTAATAGTCCTACTATATCCAGTAATAAAAAAGAATGTACGTTAATTAAAATCAAATGTAATAACGACATTTGATTATACTCGAATAATTGCCAAAAAATCGAACAAAACGAAACATTTTTATCTTCATTATCTCGTTTCATCTTATCCAAATAACACATATCCAAAACCAATATAAATATCATCGCCAGCCTAACGAACGCCGAAAAATGTGACCACCCTCGAATAATCGAAACGCAAACGACAACTCCTATGACAATATCCTATCTCAACCTCAAAAACAAACCTGCCTTTTATCTTCGTTTTATCACCGGTGACTTTAAATCTGGCCACCTTATCAATAAGAGAAGAGAGAGAGACAGAGAGAGAGAGAGAGAGAAAAAAGCAAATTTGCAGGGAGCGTTCGACTATCGCCAAGGAAACGTAAAACGTTGCCAGGCCACCGATTCCCAATCCCATTTCGGGACGAAGGAGCAGTCGGTTTTATCAACGCTCGAGGAATCATAAGCGCGAGATATCGGTCGTCCTTTCCTCCCCTTCGAGGCCTTCCTCCCTCGTCCGACAAAACCGTCCACTTTTATCTAGAATCCGGTCGCCTAGAGAAGGCGAAGCAACCATCTGGGATCGCCTCCTATTCTCCGCTATCGGATGTTCCAAGGATTTTTTTTTTTTTTTTTTTTTGCGACTCGCCTTATCAAGCACCGCAATAAACCGACGTATCGTGGTTTTTAAATTTTTTTAAAACGATGATTTAAAAATATCGAAGTGTATTTGACGAGTATAAAACGAGAATAAAAATTATGATAGGTAATAATTTTAAGTAAATGTATAATTTTAAATTGATCAAAAATTTCCTTACAATTTTTCATATAGATAGAATTCTACTTTCTCCTTCTAAAATAAAATTTAGAATTGATATTATCGACGAAAAGAAAACCTTCGATCTCGATCGAAACACGAACGAACTCGTCGTTAAATTTGAAATAAAATTTAACCCGACCAATCAAAGAATAGAATAGAAGGGGATGGAAACCACCGTGAGATCGGCATCGAGCGAGAAAAAAAGGGAGAAGGAAGGATAAGGAGGAAGAATATCATGCAGAGTAGCGAGAGAGGACGGGCAAGGAGAGGACGGTAAGGCGATAATTAAGACGGACGCCGATCTCGCGATAGCGGCTTAGTCCTCACGACGCGGATCCACCCACCCACCCTCGTACTAAGTACGTAACAGTACTCTCTTCCGTATTCTCGAGCACACACACACACGTATATATAAACACACGCTTCGAATCACCGGTATAGCGAGAGGATGCAAGCGTGTACACGGATACTCTCCATTACGACCACTCTCGTTCGAGGAAGAAGGAGCGAGGGACGAGAAAGGAGCGAAGGACGATCGAAAAAGAGGAAGAGGGAAAGAGGAGAGAGGACAACAGAAAAGAAGCATCTCTCACGGATGACTCTTGCAAAGGAGGAGGAGGAGGAGAAGGAGGAGGAAGAAAGGAGTCGAGGCCTCCTCCAAGATTTATCGGCCTCTTACCGATACTGAGCCGTGCTCAAAATGCTGCAAAACACGGCGAGTATGTGTGCTCTTGTACATATATATATATATATACACAAGCCTGAGCCGGATAACGAGGCGCTACCGCCACGGTAAATAGCCCCCGGTCATTTATTAGCTGAATTTATCTTGCCACGCGTCGAACAAAGGGATACGTACCGTGTGTATACGTATCCGTGTTGTCTTCCCTTCCGATTCTCTTTTTAAATTCTCCCTCCTTTACTCTCCGAGATCCTCGAGAGGGGGAGGTGTCCGTGCGTGTCGTCCCCCTCTCAACGCGGAGAATCGGCACCTGCGTCTTATCTGCGCGAGATCCTGTCCAGCCGGAATTATCGGTGAATTTATCCGAGGGGTGCCGGTTATTAAGATTCTGGCGCGCCGCGGTTCTGGATTAACCGGCCGCGTAGTGGGAGGGAAGGGTGAGCCACGTAAAAGGAAACGCGTGTTGTACGTGCGCGGAAAACGGCTGGCCAGAACCGCGCCAATGTTGATTTGCAATCGTACGTGCACGGTTCGAGAATAAGAGGAGGAGGGGGAGGAGAAGGAGGAGGAGAGTTGGTCGGTTCGTCCGAGTCCCGGTTGGGTGTAAATGCTACGGATTTGCAGCGTTCTATCTATCTGGCGTTCGAATTACGATTACGGGCAATTCTTTCTTCTTTATTTGTTATTTCTTCTTTTTTATTTATTCTTACTCTCTCTTCTTCTTCTCTTCTGGTTTCTTTTTTATTTATTTATATATAATTTTTTTGTATATAATTACATTTATATATATGTTTATATTTACATTTATTTATTTACATTTATATATATTTTATTTTTTATATTTTATTTTTATATATTTATTTACATTTATATATATTTATATATAATATATTTATATTCATATTATTTATATATAATTTGGATAATAAAAATTCGTCTAATATTTGAAAACGTTCGCAAGGGAAAAAATGCTAGTTTTATTAATTTTTTAACACGTTCGCGAATTTTTATATGAAAGTTCTGCATGAAAGTTTGGAAGCGGGATTAAGATTAAGATTTGCACAGGATCGAACCGGTTTTTTATGGAGCTTGTTTTTAATTTTCGTTGCGACGCGTGCTTCGCCAAATCCCGCGAACGATGAAATTTCGGATGTAATTCAGGGGTGTGAAGTTGCCCTCGATACGTTTCTGGATACGATGGGCGGGGTATGTTTGATCCTGGCATGTTGAATTCGAATGAAAGGATGCAAACACTCGTGGTGATTCTCCTTGGAAGGGAAGTTGAGGGAAGTTTAAAATCACCCTTTTTATGGGCCCGAGTCACGAATCGTTTAAAGAGTAGGAATTCGAATCAGATCAAAAATTAGGATTCTTGGAAATGGAGATCTCGAATTGGACGCTCGAGATTAATTTTTAAACATCATGAAGTTAATTATATCGTTTGCTTTTTACGAAAAATCGGTTAATTATTCGTAATTATTCTT